GTAGTGTGTGTGTGTGTGTGTGTGTGTGTGTGTGTGTGTGTGTGTGTGTGTGTGTGTGGGTGGTAGGATGGATGTATAGATTATTCGTATGTATACACATGGTATATGTGGGTGTACATGCGCGGGTGGATAAATGTATGAGTAGGTGTGTGTGGGTGGTAGGATGGATGTATAGATCATTCGTATGTGTAAATATAGTATATGTGTGTGGGTGTATATGCGCAGGTGGATAAATGTATGAGTAGGTGTGTGTGTGTGGGTGGTAGGATGGATGTATGGATTATTCGTATATATATATATATAGATATAGATATATAAATATATACAAAATGTAATGGGTGTAATGAAGACAACAGCTGATGATGGAATAGAATGAAATGGATTTGAATGATAGTCGTCGGCTCGACAATAGGATGATATTAGTGGCGGTAGTGGTATTAGTAGTGATGTCAGTTAGTGTTGAATGGACATTTGCAAAAAAAAGATAGTAGAAAGAGCGAATTGAGAAGAAAATGGTTTTTGTAATACACCGTAAATGCACAATTAATCTTTCGTTGTGTTCCACTGAAAAAAAAATTTCAACAAATTAAATTTTACAACTTTTTTTTCGCCTTCTTTCAAATTTCACTTCAAAAATCAAAAATTTATTACAAAAATTTAAATATATGAGTGGGGGGAATTTTGATTTCAAAAATTAATCTAAAAATATGGGTGAAGGGAATTTTGATTTTAAATATTAATGTAAAGATATGAGTGAAGAGAATTTTGATTTCAAATATTAATGTAAATATATGGGTGGGAGGAACTTTGATTTAAATATTAATTTAAATATATGAATGGAGGGAATTTTGATTTCAAAAATTAGTCTAAAAATATGGGTGAAGGGAGTTTTGATTCCAAATATTAATTTAAATATATTAGTGAAGGGAATTTTGATGTAAAATACTTCATGCATATAAATATGCAGTGAAAAAGGTAAATAATTGTAATGTTAATTAATAAACATTATTAATTAGTAACGGTAATAAAAAAGAAAATAGTATTAGTGATAATAGGAAAAATGTTTAAATAAAGGATTATTTAACAATTAAAATAAATGAATGGTTTTTTTCTCATTTTCTTTAAAAAAAAAAAAAATTACAAAATAGAAAAGTAATTTTTTTACTATTGAAAAAAAAGAAATGCAAAATTATTAACAGGAAAAAGTATAAAAATAACATATAATAATAAATTGTATTATTAATAATCAATGAAATATAACAAAATAAGCTGAAATTTTAATTTTACATCGTTCGTGCTATTTTTAAATGCTTTAAATTTCGATCAATATTAAATTACTGTTTTTCGATAAAAATTTTCTTTTCTCCATTCTCCGGAAATCTTTTTTCCTTTTTCTTTTTTTTTTTCCTTCAAAAATTGCAAAAACTTCAGGAAGTGAAGAAAAAAAGGAGAAAACGATACGAATGGGACTTACGAAAATACCTAGTAAAATTATATTCAAAATTATATTTTTAATTTGAATTGAAAAAGAATGGAAAAAAATTATAAAATAATTTAAATTAGTTATAATTTAAAATGAAGACCACATTTTGTTTTATGATCCGATCAATGCATGCAATAAGAATTATTTTTGAATTAATTTCACCTATAAATTTATTCCATATAGATCATTTTTATGAATTCTAAATAGCAAAACTAAATTGTTTAATTAAGTATAGAATATTTCAAATTAATTAACTGTTGTAAATTTATGCTTCATTTTTGGTAATTTTATATATAAATCATTTTCATGAAAACGAAAAAAAATGATATTCTTATGGAAGATTTGATCAAATTTTACTAGAAACAAACAAAAAAAGTGTGATGTTTTAGAAAATTCGAGGAATTAATGTATTTTTATTACAATAACAACAATGGTAATAATAGAAATGATAAAAACCATAATAATTATAATTGTAGTTACTGTTATTATAATCATTATTAATAATAATACAATAATAATAATGATAATGGTATATATATATATATATATATATAAACGAATAATAACAACAATAAAATGAAATGCAGTGACGTTATTTCATTTTGAATGAAACGAAACAAAAAGTTAGAATGAAATGAAATCATTGAAATGTTTTGAAAAAGTTCCAGTTAAAATGAACAACTGACAATTTCGACGTCTTTCAAATTTATGCATTTCAAATTCACATGTTTTAAATTTAGAAAAAAACAAAATTAAACTTTTTACTTATATTTATAAAAATCTTAAAATTTCAAGCAATTTAAAGGAAAAGGAAAAAAAGTGATTCAAATTTTAAAAATATGATGGCAATAGTAATAATGAGCCAATAATGATAGTAATGTTAATAATAACAATGATAGTAACTAAT